CAAATTATTGTTTTAATCTTGATATCTCTACATCTGAAAGAATTTAAGACAGTTGGTTATCTATTATTTTCTTAAAGCTATTATTATTACTGTGTAGAAATTTTATTCTGATGCTGATATTTTTTTTTAAATCACATTATTGTTTACTGTAATAAATCAGGGTCTTTCAAATAGATTTGAATGACCCTGAATAAATAAAATCACTGGATTGGTTGGCTTACTTTGGAATTTGGAATTACATGTAATAAATTTTGTAAGATGTTTTTTCAAAGTCACTTATGTTTCCAGTCTGTTCTACTACAACAGCACAAACATATTTTCCACCAGTAATTAACTTAGAAATTTTGAAATACATGTATATGCACAGTCAGCACAGACTGTTTCCATTTTCATGTTAACCTAATATTAGTCCTTGTAGAAGTCATATGCTTTACAAATAATAAGGATTTGGTATTTATTAATATTGAATTTACCTTTCAAATTTAAACATCTTTTATTTTTCAATAGCATGCACTGTTGAACATCTTGCTACAGAAAAAAGGGTATTGTCCTTACCAAATTGCATAATTCCATACTGCTCAAATACGCAAAAATACTAACCAACATTTGCAAAAAAATCCTACAAAACGTAAGTACACTATGTGTAATACACACAAGTTGACCCTTGACAGGTGCATAATAGGCTATTCAAAAGAATATGCCTCCCTTTGATGTTGTTGCTTTATCACCATCAAAGAGCCACCGACATTCACACTTTTTGATTGAAGTTCTGTCAGCATTCTTTTGTTAAGAAAATGTGTACATGTTTAACAATAGTTCAGTGTTACACCAAAAACAAAAGGAGGCATATTTTGTTGGAATATTTCGGCCTCATTTATGTTCAAATCGTAATTCACGTGTGGATTTGTACATGTGGTAATGGATGAAAAGAACCTGGAAACATTAAATATGTATTCATTATGAGTGTTTAGAGACTAAACTAAAAAAAGGATTTAATTATTTTTTAAAAGCATTGTTTGAATAAACAATTGTTATATGTTGGATTAACATTGTCATGACGGCAAAAGCTGTGTGCGATTAGTCCAACTAATTATACTTGTCAAAGAGACACCGAGATAATTTTGGACGGGCGCTGTCTTTTTTCCAAATTAATTAGGCTAGTGTGCGATGTGTTTGGAAAGACTGTGTGCGATGTGCCGATGATCACTCAAGTATTTGATTTGTTTTCTCGTTGTTTCTTTGACATTTAAAACTTACAAACTTTTACCAAAATCAGTTCAAATAATTATATTTTCCTGCCGAGAACAAAAATATTATTATCTTGAACATAAGCGGCACAATACTTATCGCCGCGTCACAAACTTCAACTTTGCCGCAAAGGCCGTACTTGCCGCATGATAATAGTAATTCATAGTTTGTTTTACGTGTTTGTAGGCTGTTTTTTATTTAAAAATCTTCTTATTTTTTTGACATATTGACTATTAAATTATTTTTTTTACAAAATTACAAAAGTATCAAATCCAGTACCGGTATTTTACGAAACGGTATATACCGGTAATTTACGAAGTTACTATTCGGTATAGGACCGATACCGGGAACCGGTGTCCAACCCTATCTGTGACATATTTATGTCATGCTGCAGGGCCTTCCCCAGAAATAAAGTTAAGCGCAACTAAGAGCAGAGGGGGTGGGTGCGGGAGGGGGGATTCCCCCCAATCCGCATGTCGAAATTTTTTGATACCTTACAATGGAATGGTGTATTTTAGTGCATGTTTAGTGGGAGATTAAACAAACCAAAGGTGGTCAGTATTTACATATTTTTATTGTTTTTTTTTCAACAGAAGAACAGAAAACTTAAACAGAAAAACATATTTCAAACATTAATATTTGAATACTACAGACAAGTAATTTGCAGAATTTTACTTGCCCGGACCTACAATTGTACGACTAGGCCAACTCAGACAATTGATTTTGCTGGCCCTGCTAAAGTGTCCCAAATATATCTAACTACCTGTGTTAAAATAGCTTTTGTCTAGCTAAAGATACTTCAGTGAACAGGTTTTATAGTATTGCTAGACCTGTTTGCCAAAGCCAACCCCGTAGCGAAAGTCAACCAGAACCGTTACATTTTTATGTCATGCTGTAATTCAATAAATTTGTGTGATCTGGACAAAAACTATTTTAATACAAGTAGTAAGTTATATTTGGGACCCTTCAGTCTTTATTTTTGAACACAGAATGTTAGATTGATGAAATATTTTCTCAAAGTTTATCAGCGGGTTCACATTTCATAAAATTCCCCGCCATTGCTGCCCTAATTATCACGTGACCAGCGAGAATTGGTTCGGATACTTTTGCATGCCATTTGGTGACACATGACCAAAATGCTATTTTTTAATTGAAAACATGGATTCTGCAATTATGAATAACGGTGTATTTATTCAATAATAGACATTGTACCAAAATCCAGTGTAAGAAATTAGGATTTGAATCCACTAGGCTGGTCGGGCTACTATACTGGAATATTCACTAGCCCAAAAGACATTTCACTAGCATGATTCACTTGTTCAAAACTGGAGTTCTGAAAATACAGTAGTCTGGTCGGGCTTGTTACTTTGAAAACTTGGTAGCCGAGGAGAAATTAAGTAGTCAGGGGCTATAGGACTACTGCTAATTTCGAACACTGAAAATCATGTTGGATTTATATTGTTTTGAGTGATGATTCATAAATTATTTGTTTGTTTTATTTAAATCGTACACTTACTAAAAATAATGTATGGTCTGTTACTAAAAATAGATGCTAGAATTCCAAAAACTTGATGTCCCGCGAGATTTCATTTGAAAGCAGACTCCATATTGGTAAACATTCTCTACATATTTCCCTAACAAATAGTTTGGTACACAATATCATTGAAGTTTCATTTAAAAAACAAAACACAAATTGATTCAAAATTGATTTGTTTATTAAATAGTATTTTTTATTTGACCCAAATTTGATTTATAAGGGAGATTTTAATAGGTTTTATGTAGGGCACATGAACTGCAAAATTTCTTGTAAACTTTGCAAATAGGGTTGACCCATAACTTTACTGTCGCAATGTCAAAATAAAAGCGACATATAAAGTTATGGAAGCTATAACTTATATCATGGGTGAAAAGAATATCATAACTAATTGGAATAGCAGGCAAAAACAAATGATATAATACATAAATTTTGCTTCTTTAGGAAAAGGAAGTTGATATCTGTATAATAATCATAATACATCATTTCATTGTAATGTAACAAAATTAGAGAAATTTGACAGAACTAAATCTATGATATTTCAAAAGGAAGCACTTGCCAAGTGTAAAAAGTCTTTAACCACAAGTACATCCATCAGTGATTGGCTTAAACCACTTTAATGCAGATAATGCGTGACGCCCACTGTACCTGTAAACGGGGCTAATTTTGTTGATGCGAAATTTTTGCTTCGGCACTTATTGATTGACAAACAGTAAAATTTTCATGCATTCATCGCAGTCTTTCCGAAAGACGTCGGACCGTCGGCCCTGACCGGTAAAAAATCAGAAGGTCCGGTAAAAATATATGTATTGACGGCCCGACGGTCCAGTAAAAAATTAAGGTTTTTTATTAAAAACCTTACATTCAACATTTTGCAAAGGCCAATCAAATTCAAAACATATCAAAATATTGTCATTACACAATATAAGCTCATGCAATGCTTGTCAACTGTTATGCATTCTCATAATGCAAACTTTTATGTAACTACGTAAGATAAAAATATCCGGCAACTAGTACAATTAAAAGTCAATAAGTGGCCGCGTAAATTACATAAGCGGCCCACCGCGTAAATTACATAAGCGGCCCTGATGTGAAAGGTCACCGGCTATTAGTTTGTTTACACAGATGAAAGTGTCAGTGTATTAATTGGAACAATTTACGTCTTTAATCCACAGACTTAGAGTAATGCTTAATTACACGTGTGCTCAACTGTTTAGCTATGAAAGATCGTCCAAGATGTTGACAAAAATTAAACTATACTGTGAAGGTACCAAAATCATTGAACAATTAATCTGTCAACTTCACTAAATGACCGATATAAATTTATATAATTCTGTTTACATATGCCAGACTTTTGCTGAAATTTACCCTCTCATTTTGCTAGTATATAGTCTGTATGGAATTAAAGTTTAAATAGCAAAATCCATTGAATACATGTATAACAATATTTATGTTTACATTTTGATTGTGGTAAAAAAAGATAACTTCACTTTGTTGATAATATAATTTTCTTTTTGTACACAAATTTTTTGACTGCTGACTCTTATCAAGTGACTCAAAATGCTATACCAATCAGGTTTTTTTCGGTCCAGTAAAATCATGTTTGGTCCAGTAAAAATTTTCAGTTTACAGGACCTACTGTCCAGTAAAACTCAGAAGTCTTTCGCATAGACTGTCATCGGAAATTATCATGGGTTAAAAAATGATTTCAGACAAATGCATTTCAGAATTTTCATGGGTGAAATACACTAAAACAATCAATTTTTTAAAAGGACTATTGATTGTAGCCGACGTTGATGTGGTTTGATTAGTTTTCATTTTTCTGCGACAATCTGGACAACACTAGCGTGATCTGTAAAAAAACATGTGCAAGTCTTGCAATCAGGCAGCCTAGATGCAACATTGTAGTTGATAAAGTAATAATAAGGGATGTTAACTTAAACAAAATTGTTTATGTTCAAATTTGTTCTTTGATTGAATTTTTGTATTACAATTAGCAAGAGAAAAATAAACCACAAACACACTAAACAGAAATGAACATTAGTAAAATGAAAATAATGAATAATAACAATAAAAATAGTATTTTAATCATAGTTTATAATTTGTTATTAGTGCAGAAAACCTATAGATGTTTGACATCATGCATTTGTTTCTGTGTGAAATGCAAAAATGTCCAAATTGATTAACAAATGATACGTGTATGTGGCTTGAATTTCAGATACGTGAAGTGGGTATTGTGAAAATGGAAGAAACAGCTGTGAGATTAGTCAAACAAGAGCCTTATGATGAGGATGAAGGCCTCTATCCATTCGTTTGTGGTATATGTGGCTATAGATTTAATAGAATTAAGGAGTACTGCAAGCACTTTGATCTGCACAGTGACATGGTAACTGCTGAATTCTTCCATTCTTGTACAAATGGTGATGATGAAGAAGAGGACAATGAAGATACTGCTGTACTAGAAGACCAGTATGATCATTCAGCCAAATTTTATTCATGTGGGGTTTGTAAACAGCAGTTTGCCACCCTTTGTCTAATGCATGATCACTTCTGTGAAAACTACAGCAGTGCAGAATTATACATTGTTGACCCCGAGAAACGACAAGGACTTCCTAGACGAAGAAGATGTGCAGGATCGTTGTTCAGGGGAAGTGTTGCTTTGCCTGAGTTTGGTGAAGTAGTTAAAACTGAAGTGATAGAAGATGATGGAGATGATGATATGGAGTGTGAAAACATTAATGATGAAGACATGGAAGAGAGTTTAGGCGATGCTAGTGAAGGGGCGGACACACCATCAAAATCTCGGGACAGCATTGGAGACAAATCTGAAAGTAGTATAGCTATTCAAAAAATCACAGTTAATTACGGAGATCATTCAGAAACATATGAAATTGGGTTGAATGGGAAAAAATCAGAAAAAAAATCAATTAGAACAGTGAATGTGAAAAAGAAAAATGCTGTTATGAATAAGGCAGCAACAGAATCCGAAGCTGATGAGGATATGTCAGATGAGTTTGATAAAGGGATAGACTCAGAATCGTCAATTAAGAACAAAATTAAAATCTTTACAAAGAGAAAAGGAGAATCAAGGGCAGTTGAGGAAAATATGTTTGAGTCTTATGAGAATGCAGAGAGTTTAAGGGGAAGGAGAAGAGAAAGTGTACCTGTACCTGCTAGCCAAATTAAAGATATGATTGCTCAGGCTCAAATTGTTGGTGAAGAAGAAGGATCAAACACAAAATCTTCTTGCCCAGTCTGTCAAAAGACTGTATTGAGGAGTTACCTTTATGTAAGTACCTTGTTGAACTATTATTCATTAATAGTATGCTTTTCATTCCTTTATAGTGAAAATCAACAGCAAACAAGTTCAACATAATGTAAAAACAATGTCAATGTATGAATATTTGACTATTGATAAACAAGACTTTGAAATAATAGTTAATACAGACAGGTAATGGTATACATACGCAATTGCAAGTTTTGTTCAAGAAATTAAAAAAAAGCACAGTACTAATTTTAGAATATGACCCAATATAAGATAGAGCTAAAAATTCCTAATAGTGATTGAAAATTCCACTCATTTTTGTAATGATGTCACTGTGTTGTACATGTATGTAAGTTAGTCTAAAGCTAGAAGAAGTTTTGTTCTTAATCATATTGGATGTTTTCATTGTTCTTAGATTTCTCAATTGAAAACATTAAAACAATAATTTTCCATGATAAGAATAATAGTTGTACATACATTTTCATAATGCATGACCCAAACGCATTTATTATTACTTTAAGTTTTGAAACGGAAGTAAATTAACATGAATAAATAATAGATACAAAATTATCTTTTCATTAATGCTAGTTTTAAACTACTAGTATGGAGCGTTGTATGATAGTGCAAATTATTTCTTACAGATTGCGTTAACTTACCGGTATATATTTATAAAATTGTTAACAATATTCATTCACTTATTTAGTTATTAAATTTGTATTTTAGCAACATTTCAAAAAAACACACTCAGATGAAGAATTTCCTTGCCATGTCTGTGGAAAGATTTTCTCCAATAAAGGTAAATATCTAATTAAGTTAAAGTTTCTCTAATTTAATGTAATGATTATGTATATATCCTAGATATTGGTGCAGATTACTCCTTAGATCTCTCACAAATGTTTTAAATATTTGTAAATGATCACTGCACAACAGTTACTGTATGTATATATATGTACACATGCATCCATGCCTTTAGAGCTCCACCTGGATATTTTCTATTGGTACCAAGTCTGGCAACATGGATGGCCAGGTCAAGGATATTTTAATCAAAAGTTTTGTATGAATAAAAATTGGAAGTGATTTTTAACCAGTTATTTGAAGGAAAATTTTGTAATAATATTGTTGAATGTGAAAAAGTGGCTGTATAGGGGAACTTTAACAAACAGAACTTTTATCACAAAGTGTTATAGGCTTATCCTTTGGTTTGTGATTTTTAGCTCGACTATACAAAGTATATGGAGAACTGTCCTACTCGCCCCGGCGTCGGCGTCCACGTCCAGATTTTTGATTAAAGTTTTGATGCAGTAAAATATTTTTCACTATAACTTTGTCATTTCTAGAGGTATCAACTTCAAACTTCAATTATATGTTCCTTATCATCAACCACATTTTATGTGACAAGGGTCATAACTTCATTACCAATATTTTCAGATTTATCTCCCCTTGAACATAGAATTTTCCTTAAAAAATACCATTTTTACTGTTACTTCTTTATTTCTTAAGGGATCAACCTCATACTTCAAATATATGTACTTTATCATTATCCCCATCTTATGTGACAAGGTTCATAACTCTAGCACCAATATTTTCAGATTTATCTCCCCTTGAACTTAGAATTTTCCATAAAAAATATTTTTTTTACTGTTACGTATTTATTTCTAAAGGGATCAACTTCATACTTCAAATATATTTACGTTATCATCATCCACATCTTATGTGACAAGGTTCATAACTCTAGCACCAACATTGCAAGAATTATCTCCCCATAAACTTAGATTTTTTACTAGAAAAATGTTTTTTTTTTATTATAACTTTTTTAGCTCGACTTTTCTATGAAAAGGGGAGCTATCCTACTCGCCCCGGCGTCGGCGTCGGCGTCGGCGTTGGCGTCACACCTTGGTTAAGTTTTTCGTACCACCCCACTTTATTTCAGAAGTATTACAAGTATGGCTTTGAAACTTACCATACTTGTTCACCATCATAACCTCCATCTACAGACAAGAGTACATAACTCTGTCAAGGTTTTTGACAGAATTATGGCCCTTTTTTGACTTAGAAAGTGTATTGAGCTTGGTTAAGTTTTTTGTACCACCTCACTTTATTTCAAAACCATTGGAGGTATTGCTTTGAAACTGACCATACTTGTTTACCATCACGACCTTCATCAACAGACAAGAGGACATAACTCTGTCAAGGTTTTTGACAGAATTATGCCCCTTTTTGACTTAGAAAATACATTGAATATGGGTAAAATCCACTTATTGCCTTAACCCTTTGAGATATTGCTTTGAAACTTTTAATGCTATTTCACATCATTACCCCCATCTGTACGCAAGAGAAGGTAACTCTGTCAAGGATTTGTTTTAAAAATTAAGGCCTTTTATCGACTTAGAATCTTGGTTAAGTTTTTAGTACCAGTCCACTTTTTGACTGAACTGTTTGAGATATTAATTTGAAAGTTGGAATACTTGTTTACAATCATGATTCCCAAACATGTCCAGGAGAAGGTAATTCTGTCAAAGATTTTATTTGAATTATGGCCCTTAACTGTCAATGTTTTGTATTATAGGCAAGCACTAAAAAACTTAAAAAATCTAAAAAAATTCATTCCTATCCACTTGTTCACTTTACCATAAATTATGTCATATAAACATTGCTGTAATATTCAAGGGTATCAAACAACTAGTTCACTTTAAAAATACAGAGATTCTTGTATTGCCTTTTACTGCAAAAACTTTTTTTATTGGCAAGCAATAAAAAAGTCGAGCGCGCTGTCTTACGGACAGCTCTTGTTATTAGTCCCCTACCGGTTTACCGGAGGGGACTTTAGGTTTACCCTCCGTCCGTCTGTCCGTCCGTCAGTCCGTCCGTCCACAAAACTGGATCCCGCGATAACGCAAAAAGTACTGAAAATATTTTAATGAAACTTGATATATGGATAGATGGCAGTATGGAGATTATGCATGTCTTTTTCTTTTCTTCCTATGTTGAAAATTCTGGTTGCTATGGCAACAAATAGACTGAAAATATGGCAAATTTTACACATAACCTGGATCCAGTGATAACACAAAAAGTACTGAAAATATGTTTATGAAACTTGACATATGGGTAGATGGCAGTATGGAAATTATGCACATATTTTTTTATCTTCTTATGTTGAAAATTCTGGTTGCTATGGCAACAAATAGACTGAATTTCAAGATTTCTGATTCTAGTTTTAAGTTTTTTCACTATAAGTTCTTTATTTCTTAAGGTATTTTCTTCAAACTTTAAACATAAGTTGCTTGTCATCAACCACATCATATGTGACAAGGTTTACAACTCTAGCACAAAATTTATCAGAATTACCTCCCTTGAACTTAAAATTTTCGTGAAAAAAACATTGTTTTTTTTTTAATAACTTCTTTTTCTGAATGTATCTACTTCAAACTTCATATAAATGTTTCTTATTGTCACTCAACATTTGTGAGTGTTCAATACTCTAGCAAGACTATTTCCAGAATTATGCCCCTTTTGAACTTTTTTTGAGAAATTGGTAATTTTTACTCCAACTTCTTCAATCATGATAGGATTTTAAAAATGTTATATTTTGATAACAGGGATGTTTAAAAAATAACTTTAGAGTGTCCTTCAGTCCGTCTGTCTGTACATAAAAACTGTTTCCTGTGATCACTTTTAAAGAACTTTTTCAACAAATTTACTTAAAATAGGAACCTAAGTGAATGGCCAATGGCCCTTCAGAATGTTGCTTGGGCTCTTATCGGTAGGGGACTTATGGATTGCTTGCAATACTATGATAATTGCTTGTTTTTAAAGGTATCTACCTCTAACTTCAAATACTTATTCCTTATCATCAATTACATTTTATGTGACAATTTTCATAACTCTTGAAGCAATATTTACAGATTTATCTCTCTTTGAACTTAGGATTTTCTTTAAAAAAATAATAACTTCTTTACTTTTTAAGGTATCTACTTCAAACTTCAAATATATATTTCTTATCATTACACAAATGTTGTGTGGCAAGGTCCATAACTCTAACATGACTAATTCTAGAATTATTCCTCTTGATATTGGAACTTTACAAATGTTATTTTTTTATACCCCCGCACAACAAAGTTGTAAGGGGGGTATACTGGAATCAGCTTGTCCGTCCGGCCGTTTTTTTTCTTGTCCGCCCAATAACTTAAGATTCCTTTGACCCTTAGTCTTCATATTTGGCATGGAGGTTAGTCATGATTAGTAGATGACCCCTATTGATTTTGAGGTCACTAGGTCAATGGTCAAGGTCACAGAGGCCTTGACTTCAAAAAGCTTGTCCGCCCAATAACTTAAGATTCCTTTGACCTACAGTCGTCATATTTGGCATGGAGGTTAGTCATGATAAGTAGATGACCCCTATTGATTTTGAGGTCACCAGGTCAAAGGTCAAGGTCACAGGGGCCTTGACTTCAAAAAAGCTTGTCCGCCCAATAACTTTAGATTCCTTTGACCTACAGTCTTCATATTTGGCATGGAGGTTAGTCATGATTAGTAGACGACCCCTATTGATTTTGAGGTCACCAGGTCAAAGGTCAAGGTCACAGGGGCCTTGACTTCAAAAAGCTTGTCCGCCCAATAACTTAAGATTCCTTTGACCCACAGTCTTCATATTTGGCATGGAGGTTAGTCATTATTAGTAGATGACCCCTATTGATTTTGAGGTCACCAGGTCAAAGGTCAAGGTCACAGGGGCCTTGACTTCAAAAAAGCTCGTCCGCCCAATAACTTAAGATTCCTTTGACCCACAGTCTTCATATTTGGCATGGAGGTTAGTCATGATTAGTAGATGACCCCTATTGATTTTGAGGTCACCAGGTCAAAGGTCACAGGGACTTTGACTTCAAAAAGTTTGTCTGCCCAATAACTTAAGATTCCTTTGACCCACAGTCTTCATATTTGGCATGGATGTTGATCATGACTTTAAGATGACCCCTATTGATTTTGAGGTCACTGGGTCAAAGGTCAAGGTCACAGGGACCTTGACAAAAAAAAGCTTTTCTTCTCAATTGCTAAAGAATGTCCTGTCTGCAATGTATTGATTTTGACATTTGCACATTTGCACATTTGAAGCATGAAGAATACATTACTTAGCAATGCACTGGCTTTATTAAGTAACCTCAGATTTGGCAGGGAGTATGTCCTTGAGCTCTAAATGGCCACTGTTGATTCTGACAAAGTGGTATGCGGGGGTATTCACGCCATGATAGTGGCAGTTCTAGTTACTATAACTTAATACATAATTATGCATAATTGATTTTTCTTTCATAGTTTTGTCCTCCTTACTGCGTCCAGTATTTTATTAGTCGAGCTTCGCTGTCTCCTGTGACAGCTCTTGTTTACCTCCTTTTTTGCGGAATTTTGCTAATATATTATAGAAAGGAATAGTAAAAGTTTGGTTTTGTAACAATTTCTGACAATTGTAACAAATGCTTCAAGTGATAAATATCACTGTGACCCAATGATATCATTGATGTTGTTTATTATTTCAGGATATCGTACAGATCATATTAGGTTCTTTCATGAGGGTATAAAAAAGATTCGCAATGATGGAGGACTAGGTTTTAAGGTTGGAAGACATGTCAAAGCTGAATCTCGGGCCATTTTAGAAAAAGCTGTTCTTGTTGGTGAAGAAGACGGTAACAATACGAAAGTAGAATGTCCAGTGTGTAAAAAAGTACTACTAAGGCATTATTTAGTGGTAAGAAATTTAGTAAATGCAAGGAAAATCAGTTTTTGCTCAGACTGCTTAAAAATATCTTTAATGTCAGTACCAATGCTTTCGGCCCCTCTAAAAAAGTCTTATTTAAGCTTATATGGACACACCTTATGCAAAACGCTGCTAAAATGCAGAAAAAAAGCTGTTAAAATGCAGTCAAAAAGCTGTTAAAAAGCTGCTAAAACTGTCGGAAAAAAGCTGAAAAATGCAAACAAGAAGAGCACTGCTAGAAGTTAAGCTTTAAAATATGGAGGCAAACGTCTGCTAAAAATGCTGACAGCCATTCTGTTTTACCTGTTTCATATTAATAGGGCGTCCGTGGCCAAGTGGTTAAGGTCGTTGACTTCAAACCACTTGCCCCTCACGGCTGTGGGGTTCGAATCCTGAAAGGGACTTTGGATTCTATTATGTGAGGAAGCTATCCAGCAAGCTTACGGAACGTCAGTGGTTCTACTCAGGTGCCTGTTTGTGCCTGAAATAATGCTCGGAAGGGCACCTGAGGTCTTCCTCCACCCGTAATGCTGGAACGTCGCGATATGACCTATAGTATACTGTGTCGATGTGATGTAAAACCCAAAACAAACAAACATATTTATTAAAAAAAATCATATTGTCTACTCAAAAACAGTTTCTGTGCCTTAGGAATAAGTAACCAACATAAGCTTATTACATGTATCTATTGTCAGTTATAAGAACTCGAGACTTTACTGTGTTCATTTTAATGGTATTGTCTTAAAGAAGAAGATTTTTTACACCTGTATAGATTCAATTGAAGTTTTATCAGTTCTGCTTTAAAGTAAAAGAAATAGAAGGATTTAGATTTTTTATGATTGTAAGCTTATGTGAATGTCCCTATTTCAGTTACAATTTACAAAAATATAGGTGAAAAGATTTTTACTACAAATTACCATGTTGCTATATTTAAATATGTTTACAGAAACATCACCAGAAGTTACATTCTGATAAAAAGTATCCATGTGACCAGTGTGATAAAGTGTTCCCATACAATGGTATGTATTTCCTATAACTGGTAAATTGTAACCAGTGGTGTATGTTTTTTAATCACTCAATATAGGTACTACTTCGAAATACAGTAGAAACCCTACTTAAGACCACCCCGGAATTAAGACCACTCCGCTATTAAGACCAGTTTTTAAAAGAACGGAATTTTCTGTTCTTTATGTCAATGGTTACATGATTCAGAATTAAGACCACCTCGCTTATCCACTTTTAAGACCACCAAATTCAGTCCCAATTCTTTGTTATGTTCTTTATTTGACCTCACTATTGAGACCACTGATATTAAAATCACGAGACCACTGATATAAAAATCCTAGATCTTCAACATGTTGTTATGTTGTTATTATATGCTTGATTGCTCTTAGGCATGACACTTGATTACACAAGGTGTCAAAAACTGTTATTTAATGAAATAAGGTGTATATTTTAGAGTGGTTTAATGTTGATTTAAGCATATTTATTTTGTGAAGGAATAATGTATTGTATGATATGTGAATAATATACATCATATGATAATTAATACTGAAATCAGAACAAAGAGAATTTAATATCAAATTTCTTCAGAAATATGTTTTCTTCCCATGAGATGTAAGATTATAACATACTTTTATATTGTATTTGCAGTTTAAGATACATATTGTTTGTTCATACAAAATGACTAAAATAGACCATGGTCAAAAAGTATGTAAGCAGTGATAAGAATATCCACAATTAAGACCACCCAGCAATTAAGACCACTTTGGTCCAGTCCCGATGCTGGTCTTAATTTAGGGTTTTTACTGTAGTTGAAAAAGATGTAGTTTAAGGCTATACCTCAGATATTGTTGGTTTAAAATAGAAATATGATTATTACATTGTGTTGAGGGGTCTATACTGGATGTCAGTCCATTCATTCTTTTCCACAATGTTCATTTTAAATCCGATGTTAGCAACTGTGCTGGCTCAATTTCAGGGTTATCTGCAAGGTCAAATTTGAAACAATGTCATGTTTTCACAATAAATTCAATTCTCCTTCAAGGACTTGCTTCAAATTTAGTTCAAATGTTCACTTTTAAAAATAATGATAAATGGACCTACATTAAATCCCGTGTCAAATTGATAAAAATGATTGTAGTTCTAGTTGGTTTTTCATCAAGTTCTATACTGTATTGATAAACATCTTTATTTTTAGCTTGATGGTAGAATATAAATTGTCTCCATCTTTTTAAGGCCCTATTTGAATTTTCATATTTATACCCCAGCACAACAAAGTTGTAAGGGGGGTATACTGGGATCAGCTTGTCCGTCCGGTTGTCCGTCGGTTTTTTCTTGTCCGCCCAATAACTTAAGATTCCTTTGACCCTTAGTCTTCATATTTGGCATGGAGGTTAGTCATGATTAGTAGATGACCCTTATTGATTTTTAGGTCACTAGGTCAAAGGTCAAGGTCACAGGGGCTTTGAATACAAAAAGCTTGTCCGCCCAATAACTTAAGATTCTTTTGACCTACAGTCATCATATTTGGGATGGAGGTTAGTCATGGTAAGTCGATGACCCCTATTGATTTTGAGGTCACCAGGTCAAGGTCACAGGGGCCTTGACTTCAAAAAGCTTGTCCGCCCAATAACTTAAGATTCCTCTGACCCACAGTCTTCATATTTGGCATGGAGGTTAGTCATGATCAGTAGATGACCCCTATTGAGTTTGAGGTCACCAGGTCAAAGGTCAAGGTCACAGGGGCCTTGACTTAAAAAAAAACTTGTCCGCCCTAAAATTTAAGATTCCTTTGACCCTCAGTCTTCATATTTGGCATGGAGGTTAGTCATGATTAGTAGATGACCCCTATTGATTTGAGGTCAAAGGTCAAGGTCACAGGGGCCTTGACTCCAAAAAGCTTGTCCGCCCAATAACTTAAGATTCCTTTGACCTACAGTCTTCATATTTGGAATGGAGGTTAGTCATGACTAGTAGATGACCCCTTTTGATTTTGAGGTCAAAGGTCAAGGTCACAGGGGCCTTGACTTCAAAAAGCTTGTCCGCCCAATAACTTAAGATTCCTTTGACCCACAGTCTTCATATTTAGAATGGAGGTTATTCATGATTAGTAGATGATCCCTATTGATTTTGAGGTCACCAGGTCAAAGGTCAAGGTTACAGGGACTTTGACTTCAAAAGTTTGTCTGCCCAATAACTTTAGATTCCTTTGGACCCACAGTCTTCATTTTTGGCATGGATGTTGATCATGATTAGTAAATGACCCCTTTTGATTTGGAGGTCACTGGGTCAAAGGTCGAGGTCACAGGGACCTTGACAAAAAAGCTTTTCTTCTAAATTGTTAAAGAATATCCTGTCCACAATGTATTGATTTTGACATTTTCACGTTTGAAGCATGAAGAATACATAACTTAGCAATGTACTGGCTTAGTAATCTCAGATTTGGCAGGGAGGTTGTCCTTGAGCTCTAAATGGCCACTGTTGATTCTGACAAAGTGGTATGCGGGGTATTCACGCCATGATAGTGGCAGTTCTAGTTTGATTCATATTTGTGTATAGGTGATTGCCTGTAAGATTGAACAAAAGTTTATGTAATAATTCAGGTTATTTAGCCGATCATAAGAGATATGTTCATCAAGGGAAGAAAAAGAAGTCACAGTTAACACGATATGCAAAGGAGGCTGACATTATAGCTCTCTGTGACTCAGCACAGCCTGTTGCCAGGAAGAGAGGGGAAAAACCAAAAGTTGTCTGCCCTAAATGTGACAAGACAATTCAACAGGAGTATTTAGCAGTAAGTGTTGAGTTTTGTTTCATATTTCATATAAGAAAAAACATGGATACATGGTTTTATAGTTAAAAGGGCAATTTCTACATTGTTACCAGTTGTACCAATAGGAAGGCTGCAATGCCTATTGTGGTGAATCGTTTCATTTTATGCCGCTGCAGCATCTGTGATGTGGTGGATACAGCAGTTGATTACTATGAAAATTTGTGTGTTTGTTAATATAAAAATATAGATTATTCAGTATCTTCAAAAAATTTCTTCTCAAAAACTACAAGTCTGATTACAACCAAACTTGGCAGAATTGAACCTTTAATGAATAACTTCCAAAGTTCAAATAATTTGATAATGTGCAGAAATCTGGTTGACATGGCAACAAATGGCAACAAAAAGTAATAACAGGGAAATAAATAACAATAATAACAGTTTATTCTACATTAACATAAGGCACTTAGTGCTGTATAATACATGGGCATTGCATTTTTCAGATATGTGTCCTTGTTCATATAATTAGTAAAGCAACAAATTTATAATAAAGGCTGCAGTCTGTAATATCCACTGGTGTATCTTACTAAATGCATCTGTAATTGTTTAACAAAGCCACTGTTAAGTTATAATAGATGACACAGGTGTGCAAAAGAATTCATATCTTACACATACTTTTTATTTTCTTATAGAAACATTTACGAGCTGCCCACTCTGATGAACAATATCCATGTGACATTTGTAAAAAGACTTATTCATGTAAAAGTAAGTTTAACTTTAAAAGTTACATTATTACATAAATCATTTGTTCAACTGATGGTGATGATAATTTGTTTTACTGGTGTTGGTTTGCTCTAACATTATTTGGTATGGGTATCTTAGGCTTAGTGGTAAAAGTTTGTTGGATTTGAAGCACTTGTCACTCACCGCTGTTCCTTTGAATCCTGCAAAGATATTAATTTCTTTTATATATGAGAAAGTAATCCAGGTAGCTTGCTGAACATTGGTTGATCTACTCTGGTGCCTGCTTACAACTGAAATAATGCACCCGAAGTCCTCTTCCAGTAATGCAGTTCATTGATGACACCCTTCAAGGATGATTTGTTTTAGTGATAAATAGCTTCAACATTACATATTTAAACTTGAATGTGAAGAAAGCATGCAGCTTGTTTCAACCACTCTCTAGACTTCTTCCTTGAATTTACCAGTGCTGGTGTTTCTTGTGGAAACATAATTGTGCTGCCAGTAAGACTTGAAACAATGATCCCTAACCGCTGTGGCTTTGAAACCCAATAAGGACTTTTGATTCTTTCATGTGAGGAAGCTCTGCAGCTAGCTTATGGAATGTTGATGGTTCTACTCGGGTATGAGTTTGTGCCTGAAATAATGTACAGAAGGGCAGCTGAGGTCTTTCTCTACCAATCAAGCTGGAAAGTAGCCATAAGACCTATTCTGTGTTATTGCAATCTGTGTTATTGTGACGTAAAACCTAACCTAAAAAAACAAACTTTTTTGTGTTATTATATGACCTTGATATTTGTATAACTCTAGATGTTTTCATATTTAACATAATATAACATTTAAGCATTATTATACAACAGGGTTTTTATATGAGCATCAGAAGTATGTACATATGGAAAAGGACACAGAGTGTGAAATCTGCCAAAAACTTTTCAAAGGATTTGCTGCCAAAGAGAAGCACAAAAGGTTGATACATACAGACAATAAACCGTTCCAGTGCGAAAAATGTGGGAGCGCATTTAGGACAAGTTTTGAATGTAAACGGCATATGTCACAACATGAAGGTATATTTTTACATGACACTTTCCACCCTTAATTTCTTTAATTGACTTGTCCGTCTTTCAATGTGGGCAAAACCCATTTAACATTTGAAGGGAAAATAGAAGTGCTGAATATTGACCAGTGCAGACCATCATCAGACATCACAGATGTGCCAGCTGATCTTTGTTTGTGCTGGTTGCATGAATAAATTAAGCTCCTGCCAGTACGCTAAGTGTTAATTAGTACTCGCCAACTTTTTTAAGCCAATCACCGACGAGGATTTTTCAAATTTTCAGGTTTCAAAGCTTAATAAGACAGATTTTATATAAACTGGACGTTTTATTTTATAAAACGAAAGTGGGCGGAGCTAAGTTTCGAAGAGCGCTAAAGTGAAATGTACACATGTGCAGAGATCTTGAAGTTTACGCCTTCTAATCAATATTTATGTATCATGTTTTTTTCGTACACGCACATGTATATCGTCACTACGGCATAGAATTAAAAGGTTTAAAAATAAAGAAATAAGAGGTTCATTGAAATGAAAATAGGCAAAATAACAGTAAAAATGTTTTATTTCTTATGGAACCAGTATCATTTTATAATTTCCAAATAAAAAGTTCACTTATTCCAACAAAGTATTATGTAATATTTCCTACTTTTTATGTATCTAGGACACCACTCTCACCACTGATTTAAAAATCATTTGAGATTAGTAGCATGTCACTTGTGGAGACATTGTTATTTTACTGGTTTGTTATCCAGGAAAGCCTGTTTGGTTGCCTGGCCACCAAGATATAACCAAAATGATTGAAATCTGCATGGAAACAAAACAAACAAGTTAAAAATAGAATCTGACTATAATTACTTTTCTTAATAAGGCAAACTGTTGAATGATATTCTTCTTGTCAGAGTTACCCCTTTGAACAAGTAAGGATCTTTATCAGGAATGAAATAAAGAGAAGTTTATCTAATTGGATATATTTGTTTATGTAATTCAGATATTAATCTTTTCCCGTACCAATGTCCGAAATGTGAGAGACGTTTTAAATCTCAGAAGTCAATGTTGAGTCACGAGAGATCGGTACACAGGAGAGTGGGACGACTTCAGTGTAAATGGCCAGGATGTAATAGAATCCTCAATGATAAAGCTACGTTCAGGAAACATTATTGTATTCATACAGGTACATTTAGAAGTTAACATTGATTATGGCTATATTAATATAGAATCTGATTTAGATTAAATGTCCCTGCTCCGAGTTATTTGGAACATACAGTGGTTTGTTTTTCTGTCATATAACCGCCTCGGTGGTCGAGGGGTTAGAGTTGATATTCTTGTTTCTGCCCTGTCTTCCTGTAAGCAAATGGCCAATAAGTTAAGAGTCTCCTTACTTGGACACAACTTTTTAACAATTTCTGGTTGTGGAGAAATTGAACATTTTGAGTTTTATTAGTCCCCTACCGGTTTAACCGGAGGGGACTTTAGGTTTACCCTCCGTCCGTCTGTCCGTCTGTCTGTCTGTCCGTCTGTCTGTCTGTCTGTCAGTCTGTCAGTCCGTCAGTCCACAAAACTGGATCCCGCGATAACGCAAAAAGTACTGAAAATATTTTTATGAAACTTGATATATGGATAGATGGCAGTATGGAGATTATGCACGTCTTTTTTTTTTCTTCCTATGTTGAAAATTCTGGTTGCTATGGCAACAAATAGTCTGAAAATATGGCAAATTTAACACATAAACTGGATCCAGTGATAACTCAAAAAGTACTGAAAATATTTTTATGAAACTTGAAATATGGGTAGATGGCAGTCTGGAGGTTATGCACACCTTTTTCTTTTTTTCTTATGTTGAAAATTCTGGTTGCTATGGCAACAAATAGCCTGAATTTCAAGATTTCTGATTTAAATTTTTCAGATTTTTCACTATACCGGTATGTTCTTTATTTCTTAAGGTGTTTACTTCAAACTTTAAATATAAGTTTCTGGTCATCAACCACATCATATGTGACAAGGTTTATAACTCTAGCACAAAAAATATCAGTATTACCTCCCTTGAACTTAGATTTTTTAGGGGAAAAAATGTTGTCTTTTTTAAATAACTTCTTTATTTCCTAATGTATCTACTTCAAACTTCATATATATGTTTCTTATTATCACTCGACATTTTTGAGAAGGTTAAATACTCTAGCAAGACTATTTCCAGAATTATGTCCCCCTTGAACTTAGATTTTTTTCGAGATACTGGTATTTTCACTCCAACTTCTTCATTCCTTATAGGATTTACTTTAAAATCACACATCGTAATAATATGACAAGGTTGTATAAACATAATTTCCTTACTAAGCATGGAAACTTAACACATTACTGTGATATAGACAAAGTTATTTTATTATGTTTTGTGGTCGATATTTTCAAATACAGACTTCATCCTCAAATTCATTATAAATGGCAATACACAGGAGTGTATGACAATTAAAGAACTTTTTGAGGGACCGGTAGGGGACTACTGTATTGCCCGCAATACTATCAAATGCTTGTTTGTTAAAAGAGTAATGGTTATATCAATGAAAATAGTATTCACTGAGTGATGTGTGTAAAATAACATTCCATTCAGATCATATGATCTGATATGATCTGATGATATGAGATCATATGATTTTGCCTCTCAGACGAGGAAGTTTCATAAGTAAGGAATATTAACATTACAAAGATACAGTTTTGACTGTTCTCAAATTTTAAGGTGAACAGAAAAAAATATGAGAGTTGTATCATTACATTAAACACATTGGCACTATATGATTTGCTGTATATGATATATGTATTTTGTTTTAGGAGAAAAACCAAACAAGTGTCCTGTATGTGATAAAGGTTTTATTCAACGTGTCGCACTTAAATATCACCTCAAAACAAAACACAACAGTGAGGAGAAGATGCCACCTGGAAGATCACCTGGTTTGTATTTTCATATTTTATTAATTCTTTTTCTGGATTTTGTTGATTTTCTGGATTGTAAGCAAGAAATGAGAACTATTAACCATCCTTTTATTCGCTCCCAAGGCAGGACATATGTATATACCTGGACTTAACAAATCTGTTTTCTTATGGGTACTATGGGTATAGAACATTTCATTTGTTTGTGAGACATATTACCCAGATGTATTACTTGATCTATATAAAGAAAATGCATCAGTTATATTTCCCAGATTTTGTTTTGTTATGATAAATAATTGTCAGATGACCTTTGTGATGTGTAGCCTAAAATGTTAAAATTTCAGTACCATTTTCTCAGAACACAATATTTCTGTATTGTTACCACTGAGGCGAATGCATTAATTTGAAGACATTTTGTTTATTTCATTGATACAGCTTGCGGTGACAATAGGGTAAAACATCCAGATATACAATTGTTCCGAGAGGCCCAGCCTGTGCCACTAGATCCGGATGAGTATGTAGAGGAGTACACAGAAGTTCCGATGGAGAGTCTAGTTCAGGGTACCGAAGTTCAACAGGTTAACCTCTCTGATGCTTCCATCGTGTCAGATTTGATTGAGATTGCCCAGTCAAGTGAGGGCGGAACAGTACCGGCGGCATTACAGCACGTGTTTGATGGAGTTGATGGAGAGAATAGAACTATTGTTATATACTATCAATGATTACTAGTTAGCCTTTATAATGAATTTTTCAATGTTATGCATTGGAAGATAATATTTGTATCAAAACTGTTATTGCTTGTTGGTTTATTATGAGTTTTTCTAGCATTTTTTTTTTTTTTTTTTTTTTTGTCAATAGTTCATTTCTTCTGTACTGTTTTATAGTGTAAGATTTGTCAGCAATCAAAAAGATACCTGGGAGATGATTTGTATGGTATTATTATGACACAAAAAAGATTTATAGATAGAGTTTCAAAGGTACACACGTCCTTTTCACGCCAGTTTATTTTACTTGACTTTGTTATGGAAAGATAAAAGAAATGAATGTAATAATAATGATTTTACTATTTGTTTGTACATCTAACTTGAATCTTTTCTGACTACACGTAATATATATTAATCATAACTTTACCGAACTAGAAAAAAAAATGTTGTTATTCATTAAAATACTCTATATTTATTTAAATCTCTGAGTATACAGGTTATGATTTATAAACAAGTGAAACTTTACTAGTTTCTGGGGCATAATGTGTCTTTAAATTTTTAATCAAATGGTGTTTATATTCATACAAAACTGAGAAGCATTATTAAACCTACTGTGCAAATGACATTAATTTTCTTTTAAAGTCAAAGATTTGGAATTACAACTGCCATTTACCTTGTCATTTTACATGTGGCATTAAGTGTTTGCATTTTAGCTAAGTTTTTGTTAAACTTTGTGACATAATTTATTTCATAAATAAAGACTGAATGTTAAAATGAAATATTTGTAAATCATCTGAACATATACATTTGTATTTATTAAAATGCTATGCCGATTGTAACTGTTTTTATGTTATATATAGAAACCCAGTTGATATTTGATGATTCTGTGGAAAATATAGGTTATTTGTAAATATTTGTTACTGCAATACGTGTTACTGTTGTTTATAGGAAGAAATTTGAGGCAAATAACATGTTATTTTTATCAAATTTTGTTGAAACGAACATCTATTTAAATACACAGTCAATTTTCTAGCTTATAGATTGCCAGTGTTTGTATCAGAAATGGTGTTTTGTAAACACTATATTGACGTCAATGTACTGTAATTTCAAAAAAGTACCTTAGTGCAATAACAGGTTAAGTACTTCTAAATTTAATAGGAGTTAACCAGTTATTGAACTAAGGTGATGATTTGTACATGTAAAGAAGTTTTATTGCAGCAGGTTTACAGATGTATTCATGATCTTCTTTTCATTGTTTTAAGATAATAATATTGCAACCTAATAAATGTTATTTATATGGTAGACATAGTTTTGTTATTCTTATGCCCAAACAATGCGGCCTGAATTGATGGAACTGTCTCCCTGTTGTCCAGTATATTATTTTCTCTGCTTTATCTCCGCAGCATCTGAGTGGCGGCATGGCCGATTTGTTAATGAAGGGGCAAGCCGTTGTTTCCTTGAGTAAGGAACATTCATTGCTTAGTACTGGTTGGTTCCAGGAACGGATGCGAGTGTTTAAATAAGTTAATAGCTTCCAACAATCGAACTAAAATAAATTGGTTTATACTAAACATTTTGTTAGATTTTCGTTTATTGGTGATCATTTTAATACCTTGTTATGTATTGTCTGTATGTTGTCCTTCCAATACAATCTTGCACGGGCATGATCTGCACAGTCACAAAAAAAACGGGAAGTGATTCTCACAAACATGGCTGTGCATTGCACAGTTTTGTCTGGTACAATCTTGTCAACAGCCACGTGACTGTTTGGAATGACACCCATCAAGCCTAGTGCAAATCATTTTCATGTTTCGTTTAGATTAAAACTTGAGTGATGACTTTCATGCGCCTGCAGCAAAGTTTATACACTGGTATTATCTACACAGAAAAATTTGGAGGAGGGAGTCAAAACTGGATTTCCTTCAAAATCTTTCAGATTTATTGCCCTTTGCCAGAGCATATTCAATGAATGATACGTTACGTATGTCAGTTCAAATTCAACAACTGAATTACAAGAGCATAATGTCACTTTGAAGTAACTGCTCTTGTTAAAGCTTAATGTCAAACCTACATGTATATGAAGATTTCAAACAGATATTAGCTCCGAGCTGGATTAAGAAAAGTTTTGCAACTTGCAATACTTTCTAGTCTACTTCCCTGGCACTTACTTGCACCGAGGAAACATGCACCTGACACGGAAAAGGCCCAAATAAGATGTTTTATGTGACTGTTATATAATAGGAATACATCGGTTCCAATTTTATTAATTAGTGTTAACTATCCATTCTTTCATTTTCAACACGAGTCTTTGGGTACATGTTTCTCGTGGAGACTTCAATGTAATGAAAATACCAAAATATGTTCAACGATTTTACTCTGAATTTACCAAATCTTACGTTGTAATTAAACACATAACATTAAATTATCAGAATCAGTTCATCACAGTTCAATATGTATTTAAAACCAACCAATCAGATAACTCGATTTGTTGTTAGTTAATTGGTTCGCCTGCAACTTCTAATATTAAAGGGATATTCAGGCAAAATAATGACAAAAATATTAAAATGATCTTATCTACTCAAATCACGCAAAAATGACATTTCTTGAAGTTTCAGCATGAATTTCTGTTTAAATTCTTAATATTTTGGGTATATCTATATATGTTGAACAAAATTTAGACCCGAATAGAATCACTAAATAGTTTTAAAACAAGTCACATGTCTTGAACAAACCCTTAAAGTTACATTAACAGATATTATGGATATTGTATGATTGAAACAAGTCTTAATCATACATTTGACATGTTCTTTAACGTTTCCAGAGTTCACTTTGACAACTATTGTGAATTCCTAGCGCTCTAACCTGACCCACGCGGGTCTAGTTAGGAAACCACCATTTAATTTATTCTTTATATGGAGAAAAGTTTTGTTCCTTTGACTGTCTGATATATTCATTTTGAGGGCATTAACAGAATAATGACTGAAAAACTCAAAACTAAGAAATGAAAATTTTGCCTAAGAAATGAAAATTTTGCCTGTGTCTCCCTATTTTAGTTTACTCCTTTCGCTAAAACTCAAACAAAGGTACTGTGTATGCTTGACACTAAAATAAACGCTAAATAACCACATTTGATCATTATTTCTAAAGAATATCTGAAATTTTGACGCGACAGCGTAGTTCTATCGTACCTAATCTTTATATTCTTCATTACAATGCCCTTATGTTCTTATACGTATAGATGATTTGCCCATTTGGTATACCTAGGACCAAAAATAATGTTTATTATTAGTCCAAGGGTAAACTGAGACAAAATATTTATTTTCTTTAGTCGGTACTTTCTTCCTTAGACATTTTTGTGTCAAACATAACCCACATTTGATAAAGTAGCTCGTCGTAAAGTCGACAGGAGAAAAGCGAAAGGTTCAGGGTTGTATGCCTAAGTCAAACGAAATCATAAAAGTTATTAGGTATTTTACTTAGATGAAAATTTAAAATGGAATATTCAAATAAAGCGCGTCTGAACCAAATTGCTCTTTTAAAGCGTATATCGTACTTTTTATCCGCTGAAGTGAAGGATTGTTTTACAATGCCTATATTTTACCTTGTTTTTTTTATTATTGTTGCATTTTATGGAATACTTGTAACAAAACTGAATTTGAAAAAGTGAATAAACTGCAGAAACGCGCAGATTATCTTGTGTAAACCAGTTAAACGCCATCTTTAGACTTTTCTTTTATAAATTAAAATGGTTAGCTTTGGAAAATAGATGCACGTATTTAATTGAATAATATTTTATATTGCAACTAATATTTACATAAAGATGCACGTATCATACAGCATTATTAGTATTTAAAACTATACAAGGATAGACTCCTTCCAACATTTCAGATACCCTAGTGTTCTAAAAAAATGAAACATATTCACTTAGATCAACTGCAAGTACAAACATAAAACATGTAAGATCTAATACAAAATATGTTCAAAAAACTTTTAGAATTAATGCTATACAATTATGGAATAATTTACATTTATACATTAAGTATAGGTTAGTGTTTAATAATATGCATTAACAAAAATAATTGGTCAAGCCTGCCGCAGGCAGGCGACCAATTATTTTTGTTAATGCATATTATTAAACATTAACCTATTTAATGATCAACATTATTTTTTTTCAACTAACAACAAGGCATTTCTCTAAATCACCTATAGCTCCGCCCTTTCGCTCTACAATTAACATGTCTACACCTTGTCAAGTTGCTAACATGTCACATTTAGATAAGCTAAATAAATGGCCCAGGCACATTTTTTACTGAAATGTCACAGCCTTTATCTACAGTAAGACTATCATGTTTATAATATGTCTGGAAAAAAAACAGCGAGGAAAACGATGCAATTAGGTAAAGACAATGGAGTTTATGAAATGTGTACATCCTTTTAAAATAAATGGAAAATGTGAGAAAAAATACATTCATTGATACAAATTCGTTATTACCTTCAAGTTATTCACTAACATTTAAAATCCCTATTGATTTGCTCATTTGAAAAACAGTTCATTTTTTCTGTGTGAAGGGGGTCCATTTTTAATGAGTTTTCCAGCCAAAAATGTAATCATTGTATTCTTGATATCAATGATTGTTAATGCAGTTTATTCCTATCAAGTGAAAGAAAATAATATTTTGGTTACTTTTTCTATAAAATATAAAGTTTAAAACAGTCAGCAATTTATAACAGTCATTTTTCTTAGAGTTCAAAGGATATAAAAAAGTTAATATGCAATAACTTGTCTCTGCGTACCCAACATGTATTAATGTAATAAATCAGTTGATTGTATCCTCACATTTAGAAACACCTGACCTCGACTATTTTTTTTATGTTGGCATTGTTTTGCTAACCTTGACATTTTACAAATCAGAGTGTAAACCATACCTCTAACTCCTCCCTAATATAATGCATTATTGAAATTTGTTAGACTGCGGTTAGACGGCAGATTAAGTGAATTTTATTTAGTTAGTACACATTAACCAAAGTTAGACTAAGCAGAAATTTGAAAAATACTACAATGTGATTGGACAAAAAATAATGTTGATCATTAAAGAGTCTTTGTCTCTATAATTATGTTTTTAAAAGATATATTAACAAAATATTTACTTGATATATAGCTTAAATGAATCTGATGCATGCATGTAATGTTTGTTATTTATATTTTTGATATGTGTGTACATATATATGTAGATTTTTTTAATCTTGTTTACATTGTAAATTAAAACTGTATTTCGTTATATGTTACCGTCATGAAATGAAGTGTTTATTATCGTTTATAGTTACAAAATATATGACATGAAACTATTAGATCTACTAAGTTTATAAAGTCGTACTAAATAATGTTATTAAAAAAATATAAGATATGAACCCGCGCTCAATAAATTTATCAAGTCTAAAATCGGAATCTATATTCATTAAAATCAAACTTTATTAATTGTCGTCTGATTTTTAAAGATCTTCGGTCTTGGATATATGTAGCAGTTATGCAAAATTAGGCTAGTTTGAGTGAATTTGTCTATGTTTTACATGCTTATGCTTGTTATCTGGAAATAAGACCCAAGTAGTTTAAAGGAGCACGGGGCCTCCGTGGCCGAGTGGTTAAGGTCGTTGACTTGAGATCACAGGTTCCTCACCGCTGTAGGTTCGATCCTCACTCGGGTCGAAATCTTTCATGTGAAGAAGCCATCCAGCTGGCTTACGGTAGGTCGGTGGTTCTACCCAGGTGCCCGCTCGTGCCTGAAATAATGCCCGAAGGGGCACTTGGGGTCTTCCTCCACCAATAAAGCTGGAAAAAAATCGACGAAAAAATTCTCGGCGGGACGCTCTATGATGGCCCGACTTGAGTGTACGGTCGCCCATAAGGGCTTTCCGGCGGCGACCTTAAATAAACGCATTAAAAAAAAAAAAAAAAAAAAAAAAAAAAAAGAGTACGGTATGATATGAAATATTCAAGTCTCGTATTTTATAGTGTTTACGGTAAAAACTGACAAAATTCATTGGCGTGTTGTATGTTGGGTGATTTCGAACTGGTTCTGCAAGTTCAGTGATGATTGATCGATTTTGTATTAAAGTTAATCTTAGCTGATTTGACCGTGCCATGACAAAACCAACATAATGGGTTTGCGACCAGCATCGATCCAGACCAGCCTGCGCATTAGCGCAGTCTGATCAGGATCCATGCTGTTCGCTTACCAACCCAAGTAGAGTAACTGATAGCGAACAGCATGGATCCTGATCAGACTGCGCGGATGCGCAGGCTG